ATCTTGCTTTTCAAAATTTCTGTTCTAAGTGCATCATCAAAGGCACCCGTTGTAATTAATGGTAATGTTAATATTTTATTAATATCTTGATACCATTCATCAGGTGGAATTTGTCCACTATAATTTTTAAAATCCACAATCAATGGTGAAATACTAGTTAAGTCATCTGCAACAGTTGTCATATTTAATGGATTATTCTGGAAATGTAAAATTTGTTCTTGTAAATTCAAAATTAATTGCTTAACATTTCGTGTTCTATTTTTCCACTTGCCCCACTTGATATTAAGTTGAGTATTACTCAAAAATAAATCATTCTTAGCTGTAGTCAGTTGTAACTGTAAATTCTGACCATGGTTATGACAAGTTGTTAATCGTCTATTGTATCACTGAATCAATAACTGGAAAGCAAATTTTTCTCTCAGCAGTTCTACATTATACCTATTTTAAGCCCGAATAGTCAGACGCCTATAAAGGTTATGTGAATTGGTAAGAGTGTACCTGCGTCTATAATGCTGTACTCTATTATTTGCATCTTGCCATAATGTATACCCTCTATTTATAAGAATTAAGTGTCTAATTCATAGGGCAATAATCATTAAACCAGCTATATGCATCTCCTCTTTTAAAATGGCATTTTCATCTTTCAAATCTAATTGATCCACACCTTCATGAGCTATATTTTCATGGATTCCCCTAAGAGTTTCTTCATGCCAAAAACATTCTGTTCTGTACCGATCTCTTTCATCTAGAACCGTATCACAGTGACCCTGTAACTGATTGGCCCTTTGATACTAATTTTGAGCTTCATTACCCAATTCGTCTATTCAGTCTCTTTGCTTATTTATAGTTGTTTGGAGACGCCCCACTTCATCCTTATATTCTTGAGCTAACCCTTCTCGAAATTGATTATTTTCGCGCTCATATATGTGACACTTGTTTTAAATTTGAGTGAGCTTCAACTCGATCTGGATCTGCAAATTATCAATTTCGCCATTTAACAGATCATTCTCATTTCTGACAGAATCAAATAAAATCCTAATATTATTTCTTGTTTCATTTAATAATGTAAAAACACTAGTTGATATGCCTGGGGTGGTTAATGACATCCCTTCTTTTATTTTTTGAAGTCTATGTTGAAGCAACGAAATATCTTCACCCATTTCTTCCAATTGAAATTCGAGGACAGATATATTTTTGTCATTGGACTGAGCATCTGTCTCTACTTTCTGGAGTCTTATTTTGAGATCATTTACCTGCGTCTGAAGAATATCGATCTCATCGTCTCTTGTAGTAATTTTTTTTTTCAGATAAGCGATATAATCCTCATTTTTCTGAATCTGAATACGTAATTTCTTAATGGTTGCTCCAAGAGTTTCCATTAATAGGTAATATATACACTGATTATATCCTTCATGAGGTAAAGATAAATACACCTACCTTCTATGCTTAATTTTACCTAGACTTTATTACGCAACACATAATTTATTATTACAGTAAAATACGTTGAAAATGAGTATACCTACTATTATAATTAATCCTAATGAGGAATTGCAAATTGTCCTACATTTTATTTACTACAACATACTTGGATTTCATCCAAATAGTAAAAAATTGCAGAAGGTATGTCAGGAAGAAGGATATGATCACTTTTGACTTAAAGATATTGCAAAGTGGTTAGAGAATCAGTATAACTATCAAATATATCTTATCCCACAAAAATGCAAGGCCGAAGCAAGCTTCCAGAAGATCAAGATTCCCAACAAAGTTCATCAGTGCAATATACTGATCCATGTTCGTGATAATTAAAATGGTATAAGGGTATTTGTTTGTAGTTTACTAGTAATTGACGTGGCAACTCGTTTCAAGGCTGGATGTTCATTGACATTGAGAAATAGTTTGGAAGTTTGGAATGCAATCAAAGAAATATATGAAGATCCTGCCAATTCCCTTACCTGGTCAACATTGTTGATGACTGATGGTGATACAACTTTTCGTGAATCATTCTCTCAAGGAATGGAACAATATAATGTTGTTATAAGAGTTGTTGATACTTACAGTTTCAAAAGTTTGGCATTCATTAAAGTACTTAAAAAGAATGTATTGAAGAAAATATATAAGATCCAATATGCTTTAGAGGGCCGATTGACAGAAGGGGAGTGATCAAAGCTATGGAATAAGGCTCTCTAAAAAATTTTAGATCATATGAATAATAGTAAAACTCGTCTTATTGGTATGACGCCAACTCATGCCATGACATTGAAAGAAGTTAAATCAAAACCTTCTAGTAAAGCTAAGAGACCTATCAGAAAATATGAACAAAAATTACAGAAAGGCACTACAGTGAGGTATTTATTAAAACCCAGTAAGCTAGAAGGTGATCACAGACATAGGGCGACTGATCCGTGCTTCTCATTGCGTGTCTATAAGATTGAAAAAGTTATTACTGGAAAAAATTCATCACAACTAGTTTTATACTATTTTGGTGAACTGATCGAATCAACTGCTCATTTGATAGGTTGCAATCCTAAAAGACCTTTCAAGAGGGAGGAGTTTCAAGTCATCAAAAATCCAGAAAAAATACAGTATCTACTAGACGAATTTATGTGTAAATATCATCCTACTAGTTTTATTCATTTTATTCGTGTTTCCAATAGCAAACTAGCTCAAGCTGAAGTATATTCAGAAAAACGTGATGGATGTGTCTTAACTAAAACTGGCTGAATCAATGACCAGAATGTATATCTCTGGAGTTGTAAAAATGGAAAACATCAGTGGGAAGCGCCTTATCCATTAATTGCGACAAAGTTTGAGTAGTACCCAGTTTACCCGCATACTACCGAAAGGTCAACACAATATATTTTTGAGGACCTGCTAGGTAAAAAATTCCCATCATGTAGGTCAAACTTTTTGGATGGAATGCAATTAGATAGGTATAACAAAGAGTTGAAATTAGCTTTTGAACACCAAGGATCCCAACACTATAGTCTTAATTCAATGTTCCATAAGAGAGGTCAAATTGATTTAGATATGCAAAGGCAACGTGACCAAAAAAAGCGGGATATATGCAAGTGAGAAGGCATAGATCTCATCGAAGTCCCATATACCTGTGACCTTTTTCCTTATATTAAGCATATATTACAGAAAAAAGTGTATTTACCAACCTCTGATTCTTAGACAAGATAGCTTCAATACATTTGATAGAATTTTCTTTTTATATAATAAATCGATAAAGATAAGTACCGATGCCATACATTAAATTACACCCACTTACCTTACCCGAAATACTAACAGGTATTTTCTCATATTTAGCTAAAGAAAAATCACTACACCCGACCCTACTCGTTAACTAGTTGTGATATATTAATTCTGCTCCAATATTATGGAAAGAAGTTGAATTTCGTGGTGATACAAATAGATCTTGCTCACAATTGAGAAAATTTGAGAAGGTAATGTGCAGGGGACAGAAATCTCATGCTCCACATATATTTTGACTCCATATTTCTAACTGTAAAATCTCTAGTGATGTATTATATGAAATTACTAGATCATGCCTTAATTTACGTCATCTGAAAATCAAATATTGTCGGGGTCTATCTGATGAAGTCTTTGGTAAAATTGTTCTCTTCTTTCTCTTAATATTCTATATAATTTAAAAACCAAATGGGTTATAAACCAAACAATATGAGAGATACAACTTTACGTAAAATAACTTATTCAGGTTCAAACCTCCAGAAGTTGATATTTAATTCTGTAAAAATATCTGATACAATATTAAAGGAGATTGCATATTCATGCTCGAATTTAACTCATCTCCGTACAGGTTTTTCTAAATACATTAGTGATGTGTCGATAATTAATATTGTTCAAATGTGCCCTAATTTAGAATATCTCAAAATAGGAAGTCGTAAAATCACTGATACTTCATTAAATCAGATTGCATGTTCCTGCCCTAAACTTCAGCACCTTTACCTGATTATGTGTAAAAAAATAACAGATAATGGAATTTGTGCGATCGCAAAATCACATCCAAACATTTTTACTCTTTCTTTCGCATGTGATACAAATAATAGATCTATTTCTGATATATCTGTAAAGATGATTGCAGACTCATGTCCTAAACTTCAATCCCTTGATATTTCTTGGCATTATATAACTGATGAATTTATTTGTATAACATCACGCTCATGTTTAAAAATAGAAAAGCTTAATCTCGAGGGTTACGACATCAGTGATACATCTATCAATGCGATAGCGAATTTGTGTAATCTTCAAAAGCTTAACATTGAGGATTGTGAAAAAATCAGCACAAATGCAATAATAACCTTGCAGAATAAAAACCCCACTCTCGATATTACTGACTGGTATCAAAATACAGATACGAATAGTAAGTCGGACAATGCAGGGCATCGAATCCCTGATTCTATAGATAATTCATTGGAATAAAAAATTGCAATATATATTACTTGTTATAAGAAATGTTATATTGTGTATTCGCCGTGGATGAGGTAAAACCCTCGAAGAAATATCAGGGAGATAAAGATGTACCAGCGTGGCCTTTTCGTATCGTAATGGCAGGGGAGTGGAAATAACATAATTATGTTATTTCCACTTAGTTTAGGTTATTTTCACTCGATTATATGGCTTGATGACTGAAAGTGGCCACTGTCGTCATGTGGTCTGACAACAAAAGTTGGTCACCATCGTTAGTGGCGTGATTCATTTTTTAGGCCACACTCGAACGGACATATATCGAGTTGGTAGTCTAGCTGATTTTTATTATCAGATTGTATATGATGCATTGTATACCAATCCGGTGTTCGCGGTTAGTTTTGAAACTAGTAAGCTCCCCGATTTAGGTTATGAAGTTGCGCGTGCGACTATTCTGTATAATGTTTTAAAGTTTCTAAATTTTTAAATTCGGTATCAAAATTCGTATAGTATATGGTTATTATATTTGATTTCGAATATAAGGAGCTTTTCGAGGTAGGTTATGGAGCCATCTACAATGACTGATTTGCATTCGTGCCGTCATCTTGAAGTGTATCACTTTTTTACCCGAAATATTACTCATTTGGTAGACCCCCAAAGCATAATTTTTTATTATATATATATCTGTATTAATTTTACCTTGGGGTACCACCGATTTCCTTACTATAGGTCATTATTTCTCTGGCTTCGAGCATATGTGAGAAGGCAGGATTTCCATTGTAAGATAATAGCCGAGTTAGGTTATGGGACGAGTTGGTCTTATCGCGGGTTTGACAAGTCGATTGCATTTATGTTGTCATTTGGAGAGACCAAAAAAGTAATAGTGTATTATATAATTTACGCATTATTAGTGGGAATATGATTCTTGCTTACAGGTTTACAAATAAATATTATATCTTTTAGTTCTTCTTCAAGCTCAGAATCATAATCTCGTTCCGACTTTTCTGCATAAGTTTTGAATGCTTTCTCAATCGCCTCTATTAAGAATTTATTGATACTTTGATCTAGCTTGGTATTGCGCTCTTGTATTGATGTCATTTTATATGTCGCACAAATTATTTAATAAAAAAAACAATGTTATCGAATACATGTATTAGTTGCATCTTTATTAATATATACATCATAAATGTTATCGGGTAATGCTATCAAATCGATTTCGCTCATGTTTAGAGACATGTTATAGCAAAGTATATCGAATTACCTTGCCCTAGTTGCCCCTAGTTGGCCCTAGTTGGCCCTAGTTGAAATTTTTCTGGGGGCATTACTAGGGCCGGCTTTTTGACTTTCTGGAGCTGTTTGATTTCTTTCTTTTATCCTTGTCCTTAGTGTCCCTAGTAACCCTAGGAAAAATAAGATTCTAGAAAAAAAACATTGCTTCATGCTATCTATTGTATATAGTAGATAATAATACGTATACATGTATATATATATATATATATAACACATATATGATAGATAAAGAAAAATAAAAAGTAAGAAACTCGAGATTTTGCTAGGCCAACTAAGGACATTAGGGCCAGCTATTCGAGAAGATGTTCTAGAAATTGAAAAATGTCAAAAAGCCGGCCCTACTTCCGTCCCCAGCTAATTTTTTTTTCTGGGACTAATTTTTTCTAGTGACAACTTTTACCTATACTGGTTCTTCTGGAATGGTCGAAAAATCTAGTGTTTGCACATTTTGTGTTATCTTTTCCAGCTTTTTTCGATAATAAAATGCTTTAGCATGATGCTTCCCAGTATGTAAATTGCACAATCCATATGCTGAAGCAGTTGCTCTACCACATTGTGAACAAGGGACACGTGGGCGTCTTTTCCAATGTAGAGCACATCCTTCTTGCCGATAACAAGGCCGACTGCAAACCTTTCCCTCATTAGAAAAATACTGACAAAGATGAGTTCCTGTCATTGATTATTATTTTGTTGAAACCAACCAATTATTGTAATGATATGTGCTTTAGTGCTAACTCCATTATTATCTTAGGTAAAAATATTCAATAATTATTTTCGATTTAAACTTTTTTCTCAGGGTAATATAATACAAAAACAACCAGATTACCATGAGTACCCAAAGTGAACGCGATACACCTACCGTGCCTGCATATACTGAAGAATCAGAGATTCAAAGCTCTGCATCATCCGATGTGCCAACTATGGATAACCAAAATTTCTAAGAAAACATCGATCACGTGCCAGCAGAGGCCGAAGCACCACCTTCTCGATTAGAGAGCCCAGAAAACTCAGAAAATTTCGAGCCAGAGATAGAGTCAGTGATAGAGCCAGAGATAGAGTCAGAAGAAGGGAGCAGGGCGACTACCACCAGGGCACCAACGCCAAGAGCGTGGTTGAATATATGTATAAAATTTGGGATGACAGTGTAAGACCAAGACAATTCCTTGGTACGGATTCTGAGGATGGAATAGAAAAAATATTTACAGAGCGTCAGGGTCATTCACTACACAAATTCATTGATGGAGATAACCCACTTCGCCCCTTTATCGATTTCGATTTATCTCAAGAAAAACTAAATAGTATTGTACCAAAACTTACACGTAAAGAAACTTATTATGCTTTAATCGGAGCTTTCAGAGAGGTGTGTATTGAGATTTATCCAGATTGGGATACTAAAACCCTAACTATTGCCAGTAGTTGTGACCAGAAAAAAATGTCATACCATATCTCAACTTGCGGTATGAGGCTTAAAAATATAACGGCTTGTGCATTATTTACTGACCTTGTTCGTAAGAAACTCCCAGTGGGATTGCAAGATAAGAAAGATAAAATTATTGATAATATTGCAAATAAGAGTTCATTCTCCTTGCGAATGCTTGGAACCCCAAAGATTATTAAAGAAACTAATGAGCATGTTTGTCCAAAGAGAGCAGTTATGCCTGAAGATGGTACAATTTTCGACTTTATGCTTCGTCCACCTAACGATGATGCGCCAGTTATAGATAGTCCTTTGTTGATTGTCCCAGAGCTAGTATCAACCAGAATATATAACTCCTACAATAAAGCCACTGAAACTACAAAAGCAGAATTCGAATTAATAGAATCACTGCTTAAAGAAAAAAGCATCGAAGGATACGAACTTTCATATCCATTAGAAAAATATCCTGATACTTTTCCATTAACACGTATAACATCTTCATACTGTCCACTTTGTGATCGAGAGCATACTAGTGACAATGCATATATAATTCGAAATAAAAAGTCGTACAGCTTTTATTGTCATCGTGCAAATCAGGAAAAAGAACCGGGAGTAAGAAAGCCTTCAATTAAACTTACTATAGATGAATCAGCTGAGGAACGAGAAAAAAGATTTCCAGAACCAGTAAAATTAGAGAAACCCAGAATTTCAGATTCCAATGATCATTTTGTATGGGGTGACCTAATCGATATGTGTACATCCAAACAAAGTTATACACGCGATTCGATATTTGAAGCAATCCAAGCAACAATTGCATGCATTCAAACAACTTCAAGATTATGGTTACTTAAAATGGAAGATTCCGATAATGGTCTTTTCTACGATATGGCACCCAAACTAGATATGGCGGGGTATGAAATTAAGGTAGCAGAATATCAAGGGGAATCAATAGTATTAAGAACATTCATAAATCAAGCGGTTGTTAAAGGTCTGATTCTTTATCGTAATATTGATTTCCTGCCATATTCACCAAATACCCCTCCACTAAATACCAAATTCTTTAACCTCTTTCTAGGATTCAAAGCCAAACCAGCAACTGAGATTAATTCTGCTCTTATTGATCCGATTACTTGGCATATAGAAAATGTTTGGTGTAATGGGGATAAAAATCTCTCTGAATATGTTATTAACTGGTTGGCTTATCTTGTACAATATCCAGAAAAAAAACCTGGAACTGTTTTAGTATTACGATCCCCTCCCCGTTCAGGAAAAAACATCTTAACTGATTTTATCAGCAAGGAACTCTTAGGACCGGAATTATTCTTTGCATCCTCAGATCTCGGAAAAATATTGGGAAGATTCAACAGTTGTATCCAAGCTAGAAAGCTTATCCTTTTAAATGAAACGGGAATGGTATCAGGAGAATGGCAAAAGGCTAATGACCACTTGAAATCTCTTATCACTGAGCCATATATAACTATTGAGCATAAAGGGATCGAACCCAAAACAATTAAAGATTTCGCTGGATATATGGTCCTTAGTAATCATGATGCCCCACTTCGTGTTGAAATGGGTGATGGACGTATAGTATGCTTAGATGTGTCTCCTCGATGTAAGGGTAATATGGGGTATTTTAAGCAACTTGGAAAAATTTTGGAACATCCTAATACACCTGGTATTTTCATGAGCTACTTACTTAAACGAGATCTTTCAAATTGGATACCACAAGATATCCCTAATACTAAAATGAAAGTTGAAACAATGCGGGGCCACCTTCCCAACCCTATTCGATTCATAATTGATCATATTTCACTATGGCCCGAGAATCAAATTGATAAACCAAGCTGTGCTACTTTATACCAAGATTATCTCACTTGGTGTGGAAGTAATGGAGAAAAACTATCCACTAGCAATGTTCTTGGGAAAAAAATCTTGCAAATAGGTATTGATCGTATACGTTCACGCGATGGCGGAGTAAGAGTATATCAATACATTCTCGATCGATCTAAAATCATAAGCAAACTACGTGAAAAGGGTATCGATGTAGAAGAGTTTTCCGACTCACCTCAACATGAGACACCTTCTAACACTTCCACAGATATCCCTGTATTCGGGGTACCTGAAATTATTACACCCCAACTAGGAAAAAATATAGCCGGTTACATCAAAAAAGTCAAGGATTCATCACCCGCTCCTATTCCACCAGTTACTAATATGACCCAGGAACTCTTCGATTCAATAATAGATCAACTGGAAAGTTCAGTTGCTTCGTCACCCAAGTCTACCAATAATGAAGTTAATGCTAAAGCACATATATCTATGACTCCCGAGATTAAACACGTAGAACTGATAGACGATAAATCTGAACTTCCTTCCGAGATCTCTCCCAGCTTACCTAAGCCCGAAATCTCTCCCGACTCATCTGTAAACAATAAACTAAAAAACAGTGACGAAGTATCTCCCCAGCAGATATCATACCCACGTGGATATCAAACCAGGGAGCAACGAGAGACACGTCTCCGTCAAAAAGCTATCGAACTTGGTGAGGATCCAGATAAGTTTGTGACCATTACTGAAAAAGATAAGCTCGATTCCATAGCATTCCGTGATAGAATGCAGACTGATGCGAGAATGTGTGGTTA